ATTTTAAGTATGTATAGACATGCGTGAGTGTGTGTGTGGCGCACACACATGCGCACGAGAGTGCTATTTTCCATGGATGCCAGAAGAGGGTTTTAGATCCTCTGGAGCTGGAGTTATGAGATGTTGTGAGCTGCCTGACATGGGTACTGGGAACTGAACTCATGTCTTCTTCAAGAGAAGTGTAATTTTCTGATTGCTGAACCATTTCTCCATTTATGAAAAACACAACTTATCAGACTTGATGATACTAAAGGAATTCTTTAAAACACAAATAATAGTGAGCCATATTCAAGAATTAATTCAATATACATTTGTTCGACTGTTTTCACCTTGATGTACTGTTATAGAGCTTGTATCACTAAAGATAAGACATTATTTTATGTTATATGTATGTGTATTTTTCCTGCATGTGTGCATGTGCACCATGTGTGTTCAGGTGCCTACAGAAGCCACAAGAGACTCTCAGATACCCTGGCTCTGGAATTGCAGATGGTTGAAAACCACCTGATGTGGTTGCACGGAATCAAACTCAGATCTCTTTGTGAGAGCAGTATGTGCTCTTGAATGTTGACCCATTGATTTTTCTCTATCTGTTTATCTATCTATCTATCTATCTATCTATCTATCTATCTATCTATCATCTTAGTTTTGTTCTCTTTGTTACAGATCTTCAGGTAAGATACAGTAAATTCCTTCAGTGCTCACTTTGGTTCATTTCACAGTGTCTGTTTCTCTTTGTGATGCTATTTTTTAAAACATGGTGAGATCAGACAATGGAGAGTCAACAGGGCTGTGCTCATTCTGAGTGAAGCAAAATAGGCCAAACCCTCAGGAACAAACCCAATTCTAACTTATCATCAAAACCATTTAGAGGTGTTAATAGGTTAAGCATTATTTTTTTTTGTCAGAGGTTAGGAAGATATAGAACTTGCAGCATTTGTACAAATTTGTACGTGGCTCAGATGAGAGATGAACAAAGGGCAGTGTATTCTAAACTAAGCTGAGTCTAACAACCTCAAGGCATCACAAGGTGCTAACCGATATCTGCTTTATACGTATCTATGTGGTATTTTTGCTCATGAAATTAATGCCATCACATGAAATGCTTGTATTTTGTGGTGGAAATATTTGTTATAACATCAGCATGAACAGGAAATCAATGTGGGCAACCAAGTGTTGAATGTGTACTTTAGAGGAGCAGGTGAGGATGGGTCAGAGGGCTGTCCAGAGCAGTGGGGGAAGGTGGCAAAGCTGTCTGTGAAGGAAGGCAGAGACCAGAGAACCTGACATGTTCTAAAAGAAGGCAAAGGCATATGTGGGAAAAGGTTGTCACCTTGAAAATGGATACATCTTCCATGTAGTAGGTGGTTTATGTATCTTCCATATAAATAGCAGAGTTTAGCTTCTAAGGTCAGTGGGACTTTGGGGTCTAGAAAACGTAGATAGTTGTCAGGAACTGTGGTGTGGAAATGACTCTAAATCATTTCAGAGCAAATCTGTTGGGTCACATAATTGGGAGCTCACCAAGGCCAGCTGGACTGTGACTGAAAAAGCATGGGATAAAACTGGACTATCTGAGCATGGCGAACAATGAGGGCTGATGAGAACCCAAGGACAATGGCACGGGTTTTTTTTTTTTAACCTCTTAAAACAATCCTTTATTTAATAAACCATTTATTAGCAAATAAATAATGTATGTATACCACACCTAAATATTTAGGATCTAGTACTGCCCAAGGATATAACCTCAGCATTACAAAGTGAAAGAGTGTAGCTTCACTTAGTCACCGGATACCAAAGCTGAAGCAATCATTCCTCGCTGTTCTCCTATGTAGATGTAATAGACTCATCATACCTACGTAATGTGCTGGCTTTGTGGGAGCCCAGCCAGTTTGGATGTTCACCTTCCTAGAAATGGACGGAGGGGGGAGGACCTAGGACTTACCACAGGGCAGGGAACCCTGACTGCTCTTTTGGCTGGAGAGGGAGGGGGAGAGGAGTGGGGGGTGGGGGAGAAGGGTGGGAGGAGGGGGAGGAGGGTGGGAGGAGGGGGAGAAGGGTGGGAGGAGGAGGAGGGAAATGGGAGGCTGGGAGGAGGAGGAAATTTGTTTTTTTTTTTTTCTCCTTTTCTCAATAAAAGAAAAAAAATGGTAGAGTCAGAAGCACAGAAGCTCTGTCCCTCCATCCAGGCAACAACTAAGCTGCCCCCAGTGCACATTATCAGAACTGTGAGACTCAGTATGAGCAATGAGAGGAGAGCTGCTGGAATTCGGGCAGAGAGGGGCTGGCATCTTAACTCGCTCTCCTACCACTCCCCTCCTGACTGGCTAGTCACCACCGAACTGGAAGCAGGCTCAAGGGTCCTACTTTACAGAATTGTCTTTTATTTTTATCTGTCAGAGAAATATAAATCCAAACCAACTTGAGGCTCCATCTCATCCATGCCAAAATGGCTGAGATAAAATAAAGTAATACAAATGATGACGTGGATGTGGAAAAGAGGAACCTTTCTTCACTGCTGGTGAGGGCATAAACTTGTATGCTTACTATGGAAGCAGAGCTACCACATGACCCAGCTATACCACTCCTGGGTGTATGTCCACAGGACACAATATCACAGCAAAAAGATATCTGCGCATCCATGTCTGTTGCTGCATTATTCGTTATAGCAAAAATGGAATGGGTCTAGATGTACATCAACAGATAAATGTAATAAAAGTGCTATATGTATACACAATGAAATTTTATTCAAGTACACAGAAATTTATCTGAGTGTGGATCTGGAAAACAGTAAAATAAATATGTAACTTAGACAAAATAAACCCTAAATTTTAATGCTTATATATATGTAAATAAAGGGGCATGACTTTGTGTATGTAAAGATACGCAATTATTAGAAGGGAACAGGAAGTATTGAGAATGTGGAGGGGGGTCACATGTGACATGAGAGTGGAAATGGGACTACTGATTGTGGGAGGGCAGAAGGGAGGATGAGGAAGAGGGGTGTGGTTAGGGAACCAACAAAACGAATTTTGTCTGAAAACATCCACGATACTAGGTTTCCATACCACCCCTCAAATGCCCCTCAGTTCTAGTTGTCTTTCCGGGAATTCCGTGTACCCTACCCCTCCCGACCTGATCCTGCCTCCAGTTCACCCTTAAAATCTATTTTATTTCCTCTGCCAAGGGAGATCCCTGTTTTCCCTCAGTTCTTTCCTCTGTACCTAACCTCCCCAGATCTACGGATTATAGCTTGGCTCCTATTTATTTAATATCTAATACCCACATATAAGTGAATTGAATACATACCATATATGTACATTTATATAATATCCCTATGCACTAAACTCAAGTCCAAATGGATCAAAGACCTCAACATAAAACCAACCACATTGAATCTCATAGAAGAAAAAGTGGGAAATAGCCTTGAACACACGGGTACAGGAGACCACTTCCTACATATAACTCCAGAATCACAGACATTGAGAGCAACAATTAAGAAATGGAACTTCTCTAAATTGAGAAGTTTCTCCAGAGTAAAGGACATGGTCACTAAGACAAAATGGCAGCCTACAGAATGGGAAAATATCTTCACCAATTCCACATCTGACATAGGGCTGATCTCCAAAATATACAAAGAGCTAAAAAACTAGGCATCAAAAGAACAAATAATCCAATTAAAAAATGGATCATACATACACCTAAACAGAGAATTCACAATCTCAAATGGCCAAAAAATACTTAAGGAAATTCTCAGCATCCTTAGCCACCAGAGCAATGCAAATCAAAACAAATCTGAGACTCCATCGTACAGCTGTCAAAATGGCCAAGATCAAAAACACTGATGACAATTTATGTTCAGAAAGTATATGGAGTAAGGGGAATACTTCCCCATTGCTTCTCGAAGTGCAAACTTGTACAGCTGCTTTTGGAATCAGCATGGTGATTTCTCAGAAAATTTGGAACCAATCTACTTCAAGACTCAATAATACCACTCTTGGGCGTATACCCAAAGGGTGCTCAATCATAGCAAAGGACACTTGCTCAATTATGTTTATGTTCATGTCAGCATTATTCATAATAACCAGAACCTGGAAACAACCTAGATGTCCCTCAGTGAAAGAATGGATAAGGAAAATAAGTTACATTTACACAGTGGAGTACTACTCACTGGTTAAAAAAAATAACATTTTAGGGGCTGGAGAGATGGCTCAGAGGTTAAGAGCATTGCCTGCTCTTCCAAAGGTCCTGAGTTCAATTCCCAGCAACCACATGGTGGCTCACAACCATCTGTAATGGGGTCTGGTGGCCTCTTCTGGCCTGCAGGCATAGACACACACAGAATATTGTATACATAATAAATAAATAAATATTTTAAAAAAATAACATTTTAAAATTTGCATGCAAATGAAAGAATCAAAAAAAAATCCATACTGAGTGAGGTAACCCAGACCCAGAAAGAACATTATAATATGTACTGACCCATAAATGGCTTTTAAACATAAAGTAAAGAATAACCAGCCTTCAGCCCACAACCCCAGAGATTCTAGACAACAAAGAGAACCCTAAGAAAGACATAATATATAGGTCTGCCTAGAAAGGAGAAAAAAAACATCTCTTGAGTAAGTTGGGAGTACTAGGGGCAAAAGGGAGGGTGGAAGGGGAGTGAGGAAAATGTTAGCTCAAACAGAAACAAAAAATAAAAGTAAATTAAAAATATTGCATTAAAAGAGGAACTGCCATAAAAATATATCTTAATGTTTTAATTTAAGCTTTCACTTCTTTCTTCATCACTCAGCAAACATCACTGCTATTTCTTCCTGTGCAGGCTTAATCATCCAAAAGCATAGAGAATGCAGGTGAAGATAAAATAGGCAAAATGAGGAAGAAAAGTCAACTTTAAATCTGGTGAACTGAGCTCAATGTTGACTTCGAGGGACAGATTCACTGAGCCCATCCAGAGCTTATGGTGATTTGTGTTTAACTAGAAACTACTCCAGATGAACTCTGTAGGGAGGATCTCGGCTTTGAGGTTACTGATCTTCTTCACTATTTTGGCACCTGATGGGAATGGTAAGTGTGGCATTCTGAGACTGGACTATGATAATCCTCCTGGCTTTGTCTCCTGACTCTGGAATTACAGGTTTGTTGCAGGTAACATAGCCACTCTAATATTCATACTTTAAAACTTTTTTTATTTTCAATTTTTTATTTATTTTACATATCAACCACAATTCCCCCTCCTGCCTTTCCTTAGGCTTCCTCCTCCACCTCTTTTTTACCCCCTCCCCATCCACTCCTCAGAAAGGGCAGGCCTCCCATGAGGAATCATAAAGCCTGGTATATCAAGTTGGGGCAGGACCTGCTTCTCCTCCCTGCACCAAGGCATCCCAGCATAGGGCGTGAGCCCTAAAAAACCATCAAGCTGATTATTTTCAATAAGCAGGTTTTCTACAAATATCCCATGGAATAGACTGTTCTGTTAGTCATTATCATGAATTTCAGGACATGAAACTCCCTAAAATAAGTATTTTACTAAGATGTCTTCCTTGTCCCATCTGTAACATTGACACATATCAAAAAACAAAAACAAAAATCCAAGGAAGCAAGCAAACAAACAAAAAATGGGAAAAAATCTCTAAGAAGGGAAGCAGTGGGATCCAGAGTAAAGAGGAGGCACTGGACTCAGGTAGGAAGGGACAGTCCTCCGTTATAAGGGAATAAGGGATGAGTTGACCAGGATGCAGATCAATTTTTGGGTTGGTGTCATAGACTATGGAGTCTGTGTTAAAACATTTGAGGTAAAGCTGTTGGAAGTTACCGGTGGAGAGAGGGGCAAGATAAGGAGCAGAGCCCATGAAACAACCATTTCAAAGATGGCACAGGCCGGGCTGCTAGCTAAAGTGGTGGAACTCAGAGTTCTGCTTCACCAGAACCACAGATCCTAAGCAGACTGATCAGCATGAAAGCAAATTGACTTTTCTCCCAAGAGAAAAATACCAGTGTATTTCCTTCTATGTCAAAATGTATAAAATATAAGTCTGACATAAAATACAGAATTTAATAATCCATTTTCAACATTAAGAAAACATGAGAAGCATTTACATGAAGCAAATTTAACCATCTTCAGGTTTTTAAAAACTACTTACATATGTATTTAGTGTGTGTGTGTGTGTGTGTGTGTGTGTGTGTGTGTGCACCCAGGACACAGCACTTGTGTGAGGTCACAGGACAACTGGAGGAGTTTGTTCTCTTTTTCTACTTGGGATCCAGGTTTCAAGTTCAGGTCTTCTGCTGAGGCTGCATATGTCTTTACCTGCTGACTCATCTTGATGGCCCCTAACCTTCTTAAATGTAGAGATTTGTATTATGATCCAGCGAAAAATCAACTTTGATAAATGTACCTGGGTCACTTGAAAAAATACACATTATGTACATTGAAATTGTTTTTATGAATGTCTCTGGCTACAATTGGTACTATTATTAAAGTTCTGATTGCTTGGTCCATTTCTGAGGAAGAGGTTTCAAAACCTCCATGTATGATTGTGAAACCATCTATATGTCTCTTTAATTTAGTTAAATTTTGTTTTATGTGCTTTGAAGTTTCACTACTAGGTATGTACTTAATCCCAACAGTTAACACTGTACAAATTTTAAAATGACTAGTATTCCTTTGTGCTTTTGAATAATTTTCCTTTTATTATTATAGACACAGGTTTTTTTCCTTCCCTCTCCTTCCTTCCCCTCTCCCACGGTTGTGCAGTTAATAGTTTGCTGCCAGAAGTTTTTGGTATAGTTACATGGCATTTCACATTATCACCATCGATCCTGTAACTCCCTGTCAGACATGGTTAAAAGAATGACCCGTGGGGAACAGTGAGAGGCTCAAGGAGGAAAGGCAGGGGGCCTTTTACCTCAAGTGCATTTTGTTTCCTGGGTTGTTCTTGGATGTGATTTCATGACTCTATTGTTAAATGTTTATATTTAATTTATAAGACATGTTTATTTTTGTTGGATGTCAGATCATAACTACATGATTCACAAAACCAATTTGGTGACAGGATTGCTGAGTGCTGTCCTCAGGGGCCCCCGAATCTGGATATGGCCTTCTGCCTTGCTTTCATGCTTTCCCAGATACAATCTACAGTATGTGCCAGGCATTTGTATTTAAATTGGTCTGTCTTGAGAAAATTCTGGAAAAGGTCTGCTTTGTCAATATTTATTATGTGCTTACTGGCAATTATTTACATGTCTTTATGAACTCAAGCAGTCTTCCCAGGATCACTATTTCTTTGTTACATTAGTATATGAAAGTATACTCTTCTTTCTTTCTTTCTTTCTTTCTTTCTTTCTTTCTTTCTCTCTCTCTTTCTCTTCCTTTCTTTCTTTCTTTCTTTCTTTCTCTTTTCTTTCTTTCTCTCTCTTTCTTTCTTTCTCTCTCTCTTTCTTTCTTTCTTTCTTTCTCTCTCTTTCTCTCTCTCTTTCTTTCTTTCTTTCTCTCTTTCTCTCTCTCTCTTTCTTTCTTTCTTTCTTTCTTTCTTTCTTTCTTTCTTTATTTCCTTTTTGTTCTGGCAATGCTTAAGCATGCATGGGTAGCCTGTTTATGGCAGTTCTCCAGTTGTTCCTATCCTGGACTCTTTTGATATAGGGATGACAGGAAGTTGAGGTGATAATTAGGACCAATATTTTAGGGTCTCTTTGGAAAAAGGGCATAGACTCAAGTCTGGCTACTTCCTGTGGGCATGGGGCGACATGGGGGTGAGAGAGTTGGGTGTTGGTGGGTCCATGTTCAGTGGGAGTGTGACTGGAAAGGTATCCTGTTTGCTGTCATCCCGAAGATGCCAGACATTTGTTTCTTGACAGAAGTAAGAAGGCAGGTGTCTAGGAGGAAAAAATATTGTTATTATTGGCTCTATGAAATGGGGCTAGCCATGGGATGAGACATAATAGCAGAGGAAACCAGATTTTAGTTAGCAGGTGTCCTTGATCCAGAAGAGTCGGGAGGTGTCCTTGATCCAGGAGAGCTGGTACCAGTGAAGTCCCAGGAGTTGGTACAGGTGTTTTGGTGTTGTCCTGCGAGCATTTTGTAGGTTGTTATTGATGTAGGCAGCAGGAATAACCTGGAAAATATACTTAAAATGGGCTGGGATTAAAATTAAAAACCTTGGATTTTACCAGACCTGATTTTGGTGTAGTGATAGAACTTTTCCAGGTACCTGTAAGAGAACTGGAACAGATTTTCTATCTTGTTGTCATAAGTTAGAAGGCTATTAGAGGAAATTGGGAACTCTGAACCTCTGAAGGTTGAAACCTGTTAATCATGGACTATGAAGCCTGTTAAAGAACAGTACCTTGAGTTGTCAAATGCCTTTAGACAGATCTGGGAGGAATAGATGAGCAAAAAAAGAGACGGCTTTTGGCTAGCAGGCAATCCCAAGTCCTCTTTTGTCCTTGGAGAACATCAGTCTTTGAAGCAATATTTGCCATTAGCTGCTGAGTGTGAGAGGCCCTAAGATTTTTTCCTGTGAGGAAAAAGATTTACTTAACCTGTCTTGGCAAGATAAGTAGATGGATTCCCTGGGTAAAAGGTCTCTTTTTGCTTCTGTGTGGGTAGCTTTGCAAACCCAGAACAAGCCTGGGGATGGCAGGTCTTCTGTCTTCTTGGAGAAATCATAGGGTGCTGCAGAAGCTGGCATGTGTCTGTGCTAGAAGCTCTTTTATTGTTAAAATGCCATGATCTCAGAGCTATAAAGGCGCTTGAGAGCCAGGTACCATCACTAGGCATATAAACTAAATTTTTAGAGCTGTTTTATTCTGGAAGCACACATACACAAAACTTAAATTTACATCACAAAACCCACAGTTACACACTTATAGAAACACACTGTGGCCACATTATTTTAACAGAGAAACAGATAGGATAGCTATAGGCACCTGTATCAACTAACTAGGCATTGCAAGAGAAAACAGAAACATAAGGAGGTAACATTTTTTTGTAAAGTTTTAGAGTGGAAGGACGGGGGGAGGGGCGGGGGGACGGTGGTGGGGGGACGGGACAAATTTGCTGTCAGCAGAGAAGGGCGGGGCAGCAGTGGAGATGCCAGAGTGGTCTAGGCATGGATGACAGAGACCAGGGAAACAGCTATGGAGGACATAAGGGCGAGCACTTGGCCTGTGTCGGGACCCATTAGAGCCTTGCCCTCTACCAAAGTCGACAGAAGTTGGGGTGGAACTAAAGAGAGAGAGAGAGAGAGAGAGAGAGAGAGAGAGAGAGAGAGAGAGAGAGAGAGAGAGAGAGAGAGAAGGAAGCAGGGGTGGGACAAAGCTCATAGATGTGAATGAAGAAAGAAAGAAAAGTGGAAGAGGAGGGAAAGAACGGGAGCGCTATACTTGAAAAAAAAATGCAGGCTTTAGAGCTTTATTTGCTTTACATTAGATTGTTGGAATTTAAAAAGGTTCCTAAGTGCCCACTTAAGGACATTTGAAATCTGCTAGGCACGTACTGGCTTTGGGGGAGCCTAGGCAGTTTGGATGCTCACCTTACTAGACCTGGATAGAGGTGGGCGGTCCTTGGGCTTACCACAGGTCAGGGAACCCTGATTTGCTCTTTGAGCAGATGAGGGAGGGGGACTTGATCGGGGGAGGGGGAGGGAAATGGGAAGCGGTTGCGGGGAGGAGGCAGAAATCCTTAATAAATAAATAAATTAAAAAAAAAAGAAATCTGCTAGGAATTGCAAGGAACCCACTTTAAATGCATGCCTGTGACATGAGCCCATTACAGTGCGTCCACTGGAATCGCACTGAGTCAGGAAACCAGGGTACACGAGAAATTGACTGGGAACGTCTTCCATCATCCCCCAAAAAACTCATCTCAGCAGGAGGCCCAGCCTCTGCCCTGTGTGTCAGGCTTTTGGCACAGGCCTTGACTTCAACAAAAGCTGGAAAAGCAAACGGGTCACCCCAAAACCCTACCTGCTTGCAGTTTAAAAGGGGAACTCACCAAGTGAAGCAGAACTTGCCTGGCGGAGCAGGTGCTCAGGAAGGCCCATTTTCCAGCATGGCCCTGGACTCCA